AAAGCACCAACCTATGTACAGGAGGAGATTTGGTGTGTAATGATGAGGGCTAATTTGGTAGGACTGGATTTGGTCTGCATCTTTCATAGCCTTGTGATGAAGACATTCAAGCATGCCAAAAAAAAAAAATACTTCTCTGATGCCTGAATTTTCTACTGATCATGACCTTTTGCCTAGGACAATCAGATAGCTAATTAATTTTCTTGTCACCCTAGTTTTCTTGTGGTACCCTTATCCTAAATATATAATACTAAGAAGCATTAGTTTGCACTAACTTCTTGATCTTCTTGACCTTAACTGTTGCCATTGGTAAAAATCGTACTGATATTCATGTGAGGCCTGCATTACATGTTGTGTGTAACTATGGGTGATTGACAACATCCCAGGACATATCTGTTAGTGCAACTACACTGGAAATTGCAATCAGTGCTCACAAGGGCTGCAGATTGATTTGGGAGTTCACCATGCAAACTGGATATGATGTGAGTTGCATCCCAACCTACAGTCCCCCTTTCTTTCCTACCTTTGTCTGGTTCCACCTCTGCTGATCCTTCCATAGTTCAATGTGAAGCTACTTTCTCATTTAAAACTTTAGACTATTACATTTCTCAAAAACTTTTCTATAGAAAAATAACGTGGAAAGGTACTTAGCAATCTAAGTGTACAGAACACCAAAACTCAAAACATTAATTTTGCAAAATGCGCCATAATTCACATGTCAAATGATTCCATAATAGGGATCACCACCTACTCCTTCACGGTCATTATTCTTTTCCCTTACTTTCAAGTAACACATGCAGGAATTACCTCATCTCTGGTCAGTTTATCATGGCAGTAGCTAAAAATATATGTGATCAACAGCACCCAGCATTTTCTTCACAACAAAAGGGCCTTCCCACATGATCTGATAAGATTCAGGACTAACACCCAATACTCCACATTTAAAATCATGGTGCTGTGCTTTGGCATGTTCCCTCTACCACCTAGCTACATCACCAAAGCACCATCTACAAACACACCCCTCATCTTTACAAGAATGTATCACAGCTAACCACATGAGAAAAAGGCTGTTCAGATCATTTATTTGTGCTTCTAATTTGGTTCTCCAGGGGTCTTTGAGGTGGCATGCCTGACAACCGATCATTACACAGGAGGTATGCGACAGAATTATGAAGTGAAGAGATGTGATTCATCACCAGAGGAAAATCTGGGGTATCTTTTTGAGAGGACCTTCTATATTGCAGCTGTAGAGATTGAATGGGACTATTCCCCCAATAGGACTTGGGAGTATGAGAAGCACATGTTCCATGAGGAAAGGTAAGGGCAAGGCAGAGCAATAAGTTAATAGAGAAACATGTCTGAGATTAAGATTTTCTATGCCTCCCTTTCTAGGTATACATATGTAAATAAAATGGATTAACAGAGCCACTGCGGTGCAGTAGTTAAAATGGCAGTCTAGGACTCTGGAAGCTCAGATTGAAATCTCCATTCCACAGTCATTGGGGCTCTCAGCATAAATCTGCATAAATCTCTGGGAAGGAAGTTAGTTGACTCCTTTTAGGTTAAAGGTTATAGATAAGGTATTAGAGTCCTCTTGGGGCTGCTCTTTGACATGCCCTCTGATGAAAGATAAGCATGAACATGCTCCCTCTGTTCAGTCTTTTCTTTGAAGTATTCCATAACAGCAAACGAGTGGAAGGTGTTTACATGCTGATCTCTTCCTATTATGTCAGTTCCCTGGGTGCTCACAGAAGCACAGAAGAGTTCATCAACTGAATTCCATATTTCATATCACAAAGTTCTCAGTTTTTTCACAAAGCCTTGGGGAACCAAGGAACAGCAGCAATTTTCAGGCATTAAAGAGTTTCCTCCCCTGTTCCGGATAAGCAAAACAGACGGAACAAAATGAAGGCAATAGTTTTAATTTGAAGGAACCCAACATGTGCTAAAGAGAACACAGCCAATATAATTGAACCACTGCATTATGATATTAAAAAACATGGATATATATTATTTTTTAAAAATCAAATTATATGTGCCTTACATAAATAGCCAACCTAGCAGTTCGAAAGCATGTAAAAATGCAAGTAGATAAATAGGTACCACCACGATGGGATGGTAACGGTGTTCCATGTCTAGTTGTGCTGGCCACGTGACCACTGAAACTGTCTTCAGACAAACGCTGGCTCTATGGCTCGGAGATGGGGATGAGCACCATGCCCTAGAGTTGGACATGACTGGACTAAATGTCAAAGGGTACCTTACATAAATAGCATCAAAATATGAAATGCCTGAGGACAATTAATTCTCCATTAGACTCAGGAAGTAAAATGCATATGTACAATGTTGGAGCCAACAATATAAAATCCTAAATCAAGTAGTGTATTAGAATCTGTCTGTCTGTAGCAAGTAAAGGATGTTAAATTAGATCAATTGTATGGTCTTTAGCATTTTTAATATTGTTTAACAGGTAAAGGCTAGTCTAAGTCCAAGATACAGAGCATGGACAGAGTTCCTACTCCTGTCCTCTAAAGATGCCGGCCACAGAGACTGGCAAAATGTCAGGAAGAACCTTCAGAATACAGCCTTCAGAACACGGCCAAAGAGCCCCCCCAAAAACCCCACAACAACCATCAGATCCTGGCCATGAAAGCCTTCAAGAATACATCTCAAGAGATTTTTCCTTTCGTTTTGATGCATATCGGCGACTGGAAGAGTAACACCATAAAACACAGCGTTGTATCTTGAAGCATTAACTGGACTGAAGTACTATTTCAAATGGAAGAGAAAAGGAATATCTAGAGATCTATAATTTTCAACCTGATTTTTTGATAGCTGTCTATGAAACTCTTGGGAGGGGGAAGGAAATCTCGCAGTTACCTAAACTTCATTTTTTATCCTCTTTAGTCCAGGAGAGCCCTTTCTAAACAAAGAAGATAAGTTCATTGGGTCAAAATACAAGAAAGTTGTTTATCGTGAATATACTGACAAAACGTTCAGTACTCCCAAAGAAAGATCAAGCGAGGAAGAACATCTGGAAATTCTAGGTACTCAGACCATTTTGGTCAATTTTTACAGTTTGATTCTTAACATGATTATTGACAAAGCAGTAAACCTTGGATGAAAACAGGCTATTGCTTATGCTGCAGTGGGAGGATTAGAGCTGTTGGTCAAACCACATCTGTGGAAGCTCCAGGGTATATGCAGAGTTCTGACATTGGAAGGAATTTCTTCAGTCAGAGTAGCAAGCTAGATTTACATCTGAGTGCGGAACTACCCTCACATGGCCTTGAATTTATTTCTTTATTTAACTTTATTTAA